TGTGTGTACACATGCAGTGACAGAAAGAGAAATGGAGAGTGAGCACGAGAGAAACGTGAAGAGCGAGGGAGAGGAGTGCTTTAAATCACTGTGTGCTTTGAATCACTGTGGATATTTCAGCTCCTGTCACTCTTGTGTGGCTCTTTTATCCACAAGACACTTTTAGACCCTAAATCTTCCTCCAAATATCCCTGTGTGAAATAGAATTTCACACCCGCATGTGGTCGATTTCATGGGGTATGTCAGAACAGTTTTCCGTTTTTTAATAGCTAGGGTATTATAGATTTACAGTACTTATATTTTCTTTTTGGGCTTTTGATGCTTTATTTGACAGATACAGTGGAGAGTTACAGAAAATTTTGTGAGAGAGAGAAAGAGAAGAGAAACACTTCAGGACACATTTATTTTTGTGTTTGTTACAGTATGTTTTGGTTGTTTTATATAAAATTTTAGTTTTATTTTAGCATGATCATGAATTATGTAAAGATGTGAAAAAAAAAATATTGGTAACACTTTACAATAAGGTTACATATGTTTACCTTAGGTAACTACATTAGTTAACATGAACTAACAACAAAAAATACATTTAATAATCATTTAGTTGATTTGAATTCATTTCAATAATTTTTACATTTTTAATTCATTTTAAATAATTTTAATCCGATTTTAATTAACTAATTTCCTAATACATAGTACATAGTTTAAATAAAAAACTTTATTATTATTTAATGGACCTGATATGACTAACAGACTAACAGTCTTTTTCTTTTTGCATATCAAATAGATATGATATGAGCTTTACTCGGGATTCCACAAAATCTGTCTAGTCCAGCTCTTGCTGTGATAGCAAATGCTCACAGATCCTGACTCAACTGTCACAAAGTAAATGTGCCTTTTGTGGATTAACTCAGGTATAATTACCATCTAGTGGCTGAAAAATACCCATAAGCACAACTGTGACTATGCACAGTGCCTCCATATTACTGTGCCTGCTTCAAATCTTTTTTCCAAACTTTTTTGTCTTATACACAGTCCTATCCACTGGCTATAGGCACTCCCTCATCAACACAAATCAGAAATGTGTTTGTGTTCCTTTTTAAATTAACCTACAATTTGTCATCCCAGGGTTTGCGAAGAGTATTTATATTCAACATTTTTATCACTTCATCCTCCATCATAAGTTTATATTTCTACTGAGATCATTACAGTGAATGTGAGATGCATGGACACATGTGGTGCTGCCTTAGAACAGTCTAAAATAAGGTATTTTCAGAGGCAGCGTAATTAAGTTACCCACCTTTTGGAACAGCCTTTGTGTTGGCAAGCATAATGCTTTGCCTTAAAATGTTGCCTCCATTAGCAGCTCACTGGTTTTTGGAACAGAGCAAACACCTGCATATAATGCCTGATTTAATGTGAAGCCACAGAGCCCAGAGGAGCTGTCAGTGGTCCTGAAAATGCTTGTACTATTGAGTATCTACTGGCTGCTGTCCATGGTGCTGAAATCATCTGCAGGCACCTTCAGCTGCTTTAGGGCAATTTTCACTTTATCTCTCAGTGTCACCGGCTCATATGGTGCTCGTTTGAAAACGTCATCCAACCCGAGAGCGCTTTTGAAAGTGATTGACAGGCCAGTTAAAGAAGTGAGTAAGCTTGCTGTCAGGGAGCCCTAGCTGATGTGTCTGATTATAGGAACTCGCAGATAGGTAGCTGTCAGTCGAGCGGATTTGGCCGGTTAGACGTTTTTGCTTCGTGTTGAATGAAACCGCGACTTTTCTTCTAGAGCCGACGTATAACTCCTGAATTTTTGTTGCAGGGTCACGTGATGGTCTCTCAGCGATGTCTGGAACGCTGCCTCACTTCCTGCAGGAGCCCGATGATGCATACATTGTCAAAAGCAACCCCATCAAGCTACGTTGCCGTGCACGGCCCGCCCTCCAGATCTTCTTTAAATGCAATGGGGAATGGGTCCATCAGAACCAACACACTTCTTTGGAGCACACTGAACTAGGAACGGGTAAATATGCATGTGCTGTCCTTCTCTTTAAAGTAATATTTCGCCCCAAAATTAAAATTTGCTGAAATTTACTCACCCTCAGGCCATCTAAGATGTAGATGAGTTTGTTTGTTCAGAGGAACTATTGGTGAGCAAAAGATGCAATACTAAATTTCTGTCTGTCAAACACAAACATCCAGCAGTGCCTGATGGGAGAGTGGTGTCCAGAATGTCAAATTCTACAGCAGCAGACGTTCGGCTCAACTTCTCGCAGCTTTCATCTTTCAGTTCACTCTCCATCAACCATAGTGTGCTATCTGTTAGAGCTTGAAAGAGACTGATTGTTGCATTTAGTGTTTGCTGGTGCAGATTCTGACAGCTGAAAGGACTGATCTAGTGATGCAACCTAGTGAAATAATAACCCCCCCCCCCGTCGGATCAGTACTTGACCCATGCGTGAATTGCTGCTTTATATTCAAAAACGTTTGAAAAGAGGCCTGGCTCATTTCAGGCTTGTTTTTACCATTTGTACTTATTTCTTTCATCTTTATCTGTTATTGATAAAAGGGACAACTGTTAGCAGCTGAAAATTTGACAGATTTTGAATGCTACCTGTATTGAAAGCTTTAAAATAGACTGCTAGTGAGGACGAAATCCTCAAGCTGCTTATGCCAGATGATAGACAGGAAGTTATTTACTTCCGGTGGAGAGTTTAGAGTATCAATGTGGATATTTCACACTTGATGTGAGGTGCTTCAGTCAATGTTATTGATTAATTGAAAGGACGGTTATGAATGAGATCAGAAATATACTACTGTTGAAAGGTTTGGGGTGAGTACTTTTACTTATTTATTTATATTGAAAGACATTAATACTTTTATTTAAGTAAGCACTGAAATGATCAATAATGACATTAAAGGCATTTATAATGTCACAAAAGATTTCCTTTTTAAATAGATGCTGTTCTTTTGAACTTTCTATTAATCAAAGAATCCTGAAAATATTAAGCAGCTGTTTTCATCTGTTTAAATAGTAATAGTAAGGATATTTTTTTCCAGAAATGTGATACCGAAGACTGAAAGATTTGCCATCATATGAACAAATTACATCTGAAACATTCAAATAGAAAACTGTTATTTTAAATTAAATATTTTACGATATTAATGTTTGTACTGTATTTTACTCAAACTTTTAAATGGTAGTGTATGTGGATAGATATTCATTCATACCAGCATAGTCAATAAGCAGAGTAAATGCTGTTGATTTTTTGCTTCATGAGAGATGCAAAGAGAATCTGTTCTGAAACCAATTAATGACCTGTATATGTGAAAGTGTGTTTGCAAACAACTCAAAGTTTGTTATTACTGTCATTAGGGCACATATTGTGCATTGTCATGTTTGGAGTATTTTGTTGCTACACTTGGGGATTTGGCCTCTGTTCTGTGTTGAGAAATTATTATTTGGATGAAAATGTGGTGATAAATTAGATTTCAAGATGATCAAGTTTATAATAATTCTCAAAAATCTACCTTATTTGACTTTAATTTAAAAGAAAATACTCTACGTATGTGGGAACTTATAAATCACTTAATTTTCTTCATAGAGCTTGCTGTTGTAATTATGCTACATTTTTGCTGAAACAGGTCTTATGGTGCACTTATAATAAGGACAATCTCCCTGGAGCTACATGGCTTTAAGTGACTTGCCGCAGGCACAGTAGTGCTTATAGATTAGCCCTTGTGGGGCTCAAGCCTACAGCCTTTTGGTTATCATCCTAGATCTTTAACCACTAGGCCACACCACCCCATTGTAAAGTAGAAAGAACCTACTGCTTACAAATCTAAGTAACATCAGCTCACACGCTGAAAGCCTCAAGGCTGATCTCGGATCATCTGCTAAAATAAACATCCACCTCAAATGTGATGTTGCATGCGCCCAGCTTGCTATCTCAGCTTCCTCTTAGCACACTTACAGAGATCTTCTATCCATGCCCGGCATTGACCATTGAGTCTCAGCGGGTTGTTGGACTGCCTAATCATCTCTGTACATCTGTGAGGCTCCGTTGATTAAGACCGGGCTCCCTCAGTCCAGCACAGATACGCACCGATCGCATCTCTCCGGCGGCAAAGCCGATAAATCAAACTCGGAGAGCAGGAGCCGCGGTGTCCTTGGACTGCCTGCGTGCCTGCTTGGATTATTTGTCCTGCTGGGCTGAATGGAATCGCTCACGGATGGATGGTTGGTAAATCTGTCAGTACTTTTGAAATGGTGCACTTTTGTGAAGACTGGTAAAGACTGTAAAACCGCACTGCAGGACAGGACGAGGTTGATGCAGACAGACGGTGTCTTACAGACGTACATATACACATAAATAATCCAATTCTATCTGCCTGATGTTAGTAAAAACAGCTTTAGTATGTGAATCAGTTGCACCAGCGCTGGACCATGAAACAGTGTCGTTTACTGCACTGTAAATATCACCCAAGGTTTGTTTGTTTGTATCATTTTATGCATTTGTGTTTGGCTCTGATTCCAGAACAAAGAATCGCAGGCATTAATAGAGACGTAAAAGGAAAGCTCCGGCTTTACCGCCTCATGTTTGATGAACGCCGTCAGGAAGAGCGGCCAGCTTGCAGGTCTGTTTCAGAATTAGCCAGCTCTGTTTCCTTCCTGTGGCCAAACACACAGTCACAGCAGAGCTGGCTAACAGGACTGGACACCACTGCGATTCTCTGGCATATGAACAGAATCACGCACCAGCAGGACAGTATAATCACCTCCCAGCAACATTCACAGCTCTGTATGCTACTAATGCAACACTGTTGTATTATAAACATGAGCTTTAAAATCTGGTACTACAATTGCATTTTAAATATAGAGATGTCATAGGGATAGGTTTCCCAAAAATGAAAATTCTGTCATCATTTACTAACCCTCATGTCATCCCAAACCTGTATGACCTGTCTCTTTCTTCTGTGGAACATAAAAAAATGGGGGGGTTGCATTGAATTGAAAACGCTATAGTATAAAGGCCCATTTGGAAGAGTGTTTTCCTAGGGTGATGTCTAAAGAACGTCTGCATGTCAATGGGGGCTCAGGTGTGTGACCTTGCAGACACACCTCAGGCGTTGGTGGTTCACTGTGTGGTCAATGATTCATAATTCAGTTGTGATGAGAGTGCGAGTGTGTGCATCCAGTGCATTATCACACATTTGTGCACCTGTGCTTGATAAAATGTGCTGGTTTGTTTTATAATTATGAGGCTTTTGTGCTGGCGCTTCATGAAAATGTATTTGATAGGGCTCTGTGAGCTGCAGCGTCTGTCCTGTGAGGTGTCAGTTGCTCGTGTTGCCAGGGGTGATAATCATCATGGCTACAATTGATAGCAAATGATTAGGAATTGTTCACCCAAAAATGCAAATTCTGTCATTACTTACCAGTTGGCTGCTGTATTCCAAGTCTGTTAAAGTTGCATGACAGCTTTGTGTATAACAGACCAAAATTATGCCCTTATTCTCTGATAACTTCCCCTCAATTGAGTTGTCAGCTCAAGAACAGCTATCGGTGGGTTGAAGTTGGCAACCAGATCAGTGAACAAATGATTCCTTTGAATCAGTTCTTTTTAAGGAACCAATTGATTTGGTTCACAGATCAGACTGAACATCAGCACCAATAGCCTTGTGTGCAGTGTGCCACCATATAGCGCCTTTGCGCTATGGGCGTCCTGAGTTCGAATCCTGGCTCGTGGACCTTTCCGGTCCCACCTCCCTCTCTCTCCCACTTCGCTTCCTGTCATTACTACGGTCCTATCAGAATAAAGGCAAAAACGCCAAAAAATAAATCTTTACAAATCAGACTGAACAATTTGTTAATGAATCAGACTATTCTAGAATTGGAAGTTGAATTGTTCAACTCATTGATTTATTGATTCAGTTACAGCGGTTCTCGAGTTCAATTTTAAATTTTGTGATTATTTACTACACAACTGCTGTTTTTTTCCTGTATGAATAAGTGAGTTGAACTTGGGTCAATGAATGAATCATTTCATGAATCACTCACTTTTGAGTCAGGTTTTTTTGGTGAACTAGTTGAATCAGGTGAAAAATCAGACTGAACAATCTGTTATGAATCAGACTGAGTCATTCTCAAATTGGACTAATTCATTCTAGATTCAGAAGTTGAATTGTTTCATTTACTGATTCATTGATCCTGTTACAGTCAGGGATTGTCTTACTATTGGGAGAAGAGAGGGTTTGTATTACTTACTATTGGAGAAAGCGTAACGGTCAACTTGGATCATGTGTGCCTTAATAACTAATCACATTACAGCCTTGACGTCACTGAATTTCAGTCAGAGTTGTGTGACACTCAGTCGCCATTTACAGATACCATAGGAATGAATGAGAAGTGCCACAAGCTGAATCCCACCTGTCACAAAAAGTCAGTGACTTCTCTTATAAACAGATCAGTGAACAAATGATTCCTTTGAATCAGTTCTTTTTAAGGAACCAATTGATTTGGTTCACAGATCAGACTGAACATCAGCACCAATAGCCTTGTGTGCAGTGTGCCACCATATAGCGCCTTTGCGCTATGGGCGTCCTGAGTTCGAATCCTGGCTCGTGGACCTTTCCGGTCCCACCTCCCTCTCTCTCCCACTTCGCTTCCTGTCATTACTACGGTCCTATCAGAATAAAGGCAAAAACGCCAAAAAATAAATCTTTACAAATCAGACTGAACAATTTGTTAATGAATCAGACTATTCTAGAATTGGAAGTTGAATTGTTCAACTCATTGATTTATTGATTCAGTTACAGCGGTTCTCGAGTTCAATTTTAAATTTTGTGATTATTTACTACACAACTGCTGTTTTTTTCCTGTATGAATAAGTGAGTTGAACTTGGGTCAATGAATGAATCATTTCATGAATCACTCACTTTTGAGTCAGGTTTTTTTGGTGAACTAGTTGAATCAGGTGAAAAATCAGACTGAACAATCTGTTATGAATCAGACTGAGTCAT